CCCCCCATCCCCCCCCCATCCCCAAAAGTTTCTCAGCGGATTTGGGCTGTACTCAGCAAGCGCAGTACAGCCCCCAACTCAGATTTGAAAAAAAATCAGTGGATGGTTGTTTTCTGACTGGTCGGCGGACAGCCGACCGGTCGGGGCAAAACGGTCGGCGGTCAGGATCGGCGGTCGGTGCCGGTGCAACCCTGCCGTACAGGCCCTAGACTCAGACTGGTTGGACTGGTACCCGCCTAGCCCTCACGTACAACTACTGGGCCTCTCTAAAAACGCAAACTTTTGTCTTCTGCTCGGCCTCGAGTACCCGGCACATCTACCTCTACCTGGTGTGGTGCCGGCCTACTACTTGAGTGATTTTCGCTGCTTCAAGTGTCGCAGGCCTGTGTTTTTCGCTGCTTCAAGTGCCGCGGGCCTCTTTCCCCACCACTTGAGTGTTTTCCCCCGCTGCAACCCTAAATGTCACGGCCACAGGTAAGTACCGGCCCTTCGGGCCCACTGAATGAACAAGTGCCCTTGGGGGTCACACACACACCCAAGCCGACAAGCACTCAGACAGACATGCAGACCAGCAAGCGTGCACACACACAGACTTAGAGAACTCAGTAACAAGCAGGAAACTCAGCAATGCATTCATTCCATGAGCAAAACTCAGAAATAAGCTTTGTGTCTCAGTCCAGGTGACTCAGGTCATTACATTACCCCCTCCTTAAGAGAGAGGTCCCTTCGAGCAAGCAACTCATTCTGAGTCCCCGACAAACGCATCGTAAGCAAACAAAGCAAAGAGATTTCAGTAGCAGTGAGTTTTGCAGAGATTTTAGGTACAGCATTAGAGGCTAACTTATCTTGTTTATGTGATTCCATCCGGATTCGAACTTGGGTCTGCATTTCAGACCAGGTTCATGGGTGTATTAACTGAGCTACACCCATTGGTATTTTTTACTATTTTCTAATTTTTCTGTTCTTTCTTGTTTCAACCACTACCAGTTCAGACGACACTGACATTCATCAGTGCTCATGCAGGCTGATATTTTCATTTCCGTTTCCTTTTCAGAACATCGGTGCCGTCCCTTGGCTTGTATTCTGTGTGCCTTTTTGGAGTTTCAGTGCGTTCAGTCGAGTGGAGCGGAGAGAGGAAGCTGACCACAAACGGTTAACCCTGAAAAGGTATGGACTGGTGACAAGTCTGGTTCAAAAGGTATGGGACGTTTGTTATAATGACCCGGAAAAAAAAAAAAACTGAAGATTTAGGGGCTCAGTTAACCGCTTCTCAAGCTGATGGCTGGGCCGAGTCTCGTGGATGATGTTAGCTTGTCCGTGGCCTACAGGAAAGTTGATGTCAGTACAATCAGTCGCGTTAATCCGATCATACGCAGGTTGTTTGAGAAATGTTATCCTTAGAGCCTGAGGCTAAAGCAAACAGACTGCAAGTCAGGGAGTGGGGAATTCTTCGTCTGTGCAACGAGGGTACATTCAAACTTCAAACCACCAGTACTTCGCCAATACATCGGCCGCGGCAAAAAATAGAGCCTTCGACGTTTCCACTTGAATGATTTTAGACTGGAGTCGCCAGGTCCGTTCGACGTGCTGGACCAGAGCCACCAGGCCCGTTCGGCTCAGAGCGTCGCAGCCTCGTCGTATAAAGTACTGGTGGGATTTGAACCACCAGTACCTTTCCCAGCCAACTTGCCGAAACGCGCCGGTGAACACGGAGGGCCGCACTCAGCCTCCGGCGGCAGCCAGATACTACGCCAGAACTCGGCGTGCAGGGCCTGCGGCCCATAGCTGCGAAATGTACTGACAGTACAAGTATCTGTACCTGGGAAGCTTTCAGTGTGTGAAAAACGAGAGCACTTTGTGGGGAGTTGGACGGACTGTTGGTCATGCACCGGCTGCAAACAAACGTCAATGACTATTACTGATTAGCTTCACAGCATCGAGCCCAATAGGCCGAAACAAGATCGCATCCCGGTCAAGGTCATTGCCTTTCGGAAGGAAGTGCGAGCGAAAGGGTTTCCAACCTTCCATATAGTACCTTTTTTGTAAAAGTCCTGGAGAAGTTTTGCCAAACCACCACAGTGACTTTTTTTTTTTTCTCCTCCTTTTTGTATTTTTTTTTTTAATGGGGGACAGCCTTCTATTCTAGGCGCAGGGGAAGATCAGGTCAGGCTAAGGCTTATCTTTTTTTCCCTTCTAGTTTCGGTTTTGTCAAGTGACACTGTTCCTTTAATTGTTTTCTGTTGCATCGATCTCCTGCAAGGAGTTTTAGAGGGACAGGGCCATTTTTTTCATCGTCTGTTTTTTTTTATTTTATTTTATATTTTAGGTGGAAATTTGGTCATTGCTCCTGATTTTCTCGATTTTTTCGGCCTTTTTGGGTCTTCTGGTGGCCTACGGGCCTCGAACCCCTGCCCTGGAGTATAGAGGAATCGGGCCTGCCGAAACCGGATTTCCGGACTGCGCTACTTAAGCCTCGCTTTGTCATCCTGGAGGCTTCCAGGACGGTCGGGATTTTTTTGGGTTTTGACCCTTGTGTGTGTGTGTAACTAATAGGATAAGAAATTAAGAATAATGATTGTGCCGTTATTGTTCTTTTTGGGTCCAACGCCGTTGAACGGGCTATCGTGGTGGTGGGTCAGAAGACGGAGGTGGGAGTGATGGACGGATGGGTTATGTGATGGGACACAGTAAGGTGGATTTCTTCCTGAGGAGGTCGTGTGGCGACGGCCAAAACCGATCGGGGTGCCTACCCACCGGTGTTTTGCAATCATGTTTTGTATATTGTTGTACCTGTGATGAATCAGCTCTGACTGTGTCTATTTGGATTCTGCCTGCTTGCTGAGTCTCACACCTATCTCATTCATTACTATTACTTTGTGTGATATAAGTAGGTTAGCAATTAAGTATCAAGCCTGCCTTGTCTTAAACCACCGCTACCTTTCCCATATGTCAGCCGCGGGCATCTAGTAGCCTACTCCTGAAAAATAGCCGCCACACTGCCGTCGATATTTTTCATCGACGGCGCGTGGCGGCCGAATTTGAATTTGAGGCCCGCGGCCCCACATATGAGAAAGGTGGTGGTGGTTTAAAAAAAAACAACAAAAAAAAAAACAACAAAAAAAAAACAAAGAAAAACGTATTAAGCCTCCCTAATAGATTTGCAACACCACGAGAACCGAGGTGGGTTCGTCAGGCAACATCATTGTGCATAATATCCATGACGAAGGTCGATGTTCATAAATGGGGGTTGTCATGCGCCTTGCTTCAAGACAATTTCATGTGGATCGATATTGGAAGAACTCCGCGGCAGCATTGTTGTATTTCCGAGTCGTCGAATAATGAACAGTTCAATACTCACGATAGCATTGTTGTCGTTTTGAGTCTGTGAACATTGACGAGTATTGAATATTTGCGAACGTGCTGTTACGTGCGACTGTCAAACTTGTGAGTGAGCATATACTTACCTTCCTCTGTGATGACGAGGCTTTTGCGGTGACTTTCTCTGTATTTCTGAGTCGTTGAATAGCGTTGTTGTATTTTTGAGTCTGCGATTGTTGAATACTTTTATACTGCCTACTTGCCGTTGTGTGCGATTGTCGAACTTGTGTGTGGGTGTGTGTACTTACCTTCATTTTATTTTTTTTTTCCTTCTTTTTTTGAAAAGGATGGCAGCCTTGAAATATCATCATTGGACTGACTGGCCCAGGGCCCAAGGTAATGCGGAATTATTTTATCTGTTCATCTGGTTGTGTCTGGGTTCAAATTCGAGTCTATAATTCAACAAGTCCTGGGTGTACCAACTGAGCTGCTACGCCCGTTAGCATTGCCCTGACTTTCTCTGCAGTGCCGTTTTCTGTTTTCAAGGAATGTCTGCAGTTAATCCCCTGGGGGAACAATCAATGCTGCTACTCCCCTGGGCCAAATCTTGTCTAAGATTCATACATTTAAGGCACTGAGCCCATTTCCCAGCATGCGCTGCTCCCCACAAATAGATTGGATTTTTCAAATTATTATTAAATAAAAAAAATGGAGCTCTCAGAAAGAAAAGAAAAGAAAAAAAAGGTTCAGAAAACAAGAACACAGAATTCTGTGGATTTCAATTTGAAAGTTGAAACGTCATTTTTTTTTTTTTTTTTTTAATGGATCTCTCAGAAAAAAAGGAAAAACAAGAACAAAGAATGAAAGAAATCTGTATTCCCAAAAAAAGAAAAAAGAAAAAAAAAGAATTCTGTGGATTTCAATTTGAAAATTGAAACGTCATTTTTTTTAACTTTTAATAATTGGAGGCCTGCACCACGACAAATGTTCTCTATAAAAAATAAAATTGAAGTTATAAAAGATAGTGATATTATGATATATATATCGTCACAAACAGAACTGCCCGGTAAACCGTAGGCAGAGAGAGAGAAGAGGACAACAAACGAGGGGCTGTGACAAACTGTTTCGTCGGAGTTTCACCGACTCATCAGGAGGCTGAACCCTCAACAGTCTGCAGAATCCCCTCACTGATTACACTACAAATGATAATCTACCTTAACCAAAATCAAAGTAGACTATCACTCACCCACACCAGATGGAAAACTCTACAGACTGTCGGTTCACACCCCATCACAAGCAACAACCAAGCAAAACATCCACGAAACAAAGAAAGGTCTGTCACAGCCAAAAAATACACTCCAGACACGCCGCTGGCACTAGAAGCTATATATATATATATATATCGTCAAATAGAACTGCCCGGTAAACCGTAGGCAGAGAGGGAGAAGAGGACAACAAACGAGGGGCTGTGACAAACTGTTTCGTCGGAGTTTCACCGACTCATCAGGAGGATATATATATATATATATATATATATATATATATATATATATATATATATATATATATATATCGTCACAATGGATATATATTATATAGATATATATATCTCTGCCTACGGTTTACCGGGCAGTTCTATTTGACGATATATATATGTGTATATATATCGTCATATATATTTTTTTTAAGGGGACTTTCTTTTTTTCTTAAAGCACTCACAAAGAGTGGATTAAGGCCATGTCTTTGACTCCATTGCTTGACATGCGGCCAATGCACAAGAGGGTAGAGGCATTCCCAAAATTTGTGCCGCCTGACAACACACTTCAGAAGCCTGGATTCTGCTGCTGTTCGCACATAGCCATCCAATCCGGATAACATGTTGATGCCCCCAATATAATCTCCAGCACCCTGCAACACCACCGCCGAAGAATGAATGTGACATGTGTCATCGGGGTCCGAAGAGGAGAAGGCAAAGTACATCATGCTTTGCCCATCATTGGCAAAATGAATTAAGTGCCCACATCTACTTAGAAGTTAGTACTCGCAAAAGCTCAAAATCAAATAAGAAAGTAACCTCCTTGTTGAAAAATCAAGGAACAAGTATGGACACGGCAGGTTTTGAGTTCGCGAAGGCAAAAAAAATGCGCACCCGCGAAGAAAACAGCCGCCGAGTTTGAAAATGCAATTTCGGTCGAAAACGGTCTGTACCACGGCCGACCCCTGTAGTTATGACACCCGGCCCGACAGCACGGCCGCGGTACTTTCATTGCATTTTCAAACTCGGCGGCTGTTTTCTTCTTCTTTTTTTCTTCTTTTCTTTTTTCCCCCCGGCGCATTAGAAACTCAAAGGTGACATCAACATAGTTGCTTCAGAAATAAGACAAAAGAAATTGACCTCATTGCTAGGCTGGTCTTGGGGCCGCCCGGGGAGGGGGCCAGGCCGCCTGGCCGGTTGTCCCGCCCGGTTGGTCACCGGGCGGTCCCAGCGCAAAACGCCTTGGGGGGTCTCGATAGGCCGAATCGGTCCAGGCCGCCCCCCCCAGGCTGGTACACGCCCACAAAAAAAAAAATGAAAAAAATTGTAGGCAGGGCCTTTTTTTGGGCAATCAATTCTAGCCGCCAATCTGCAGAGATCAGTGGCTAGGATCGATCATCAAGAGAGGGGGGTGCCATTCGCGAAGTCTAACCAAGCGCGAATGGCAGAGCCCCCACCAGCATTCGAACATTCAAACAGTTGAATGCTGGCGGGGGCTGCCATTCACACGTGGTTAGACTTCACGAATGGCAAGGTCGTCATCAACGCGCCCTGTAGCTGTGACCCCAAGGAACCCCTATGCGGGCCATAGCTGCGCACACTCCGCCGCCATGTCGCCATCATTCGCTCGTCCCACCGGTAAGAGTGTGTGTGTGTGTGTGTGTGTGTGTGTGTGTGTGTGTGTGTGTGTGTGTGTGTGTGTGTGTGTG